GTTAGCATTTGTATTTTGAAACAAAATTATTAAAAAAAAGGATACATTTTGACCATATATATATTGCTAATTTGGAGCAGATGCAGTAGTGTTCTTTATAAGACTTTTGGTCAGTGTAGTGACTCAGAATGGAACCCTAATGAGTCAAGAAGTCTTCAATCTGGAAATCCATCGGTAAAAAAAAAAAAAGTTTTTTCTTTCTTTACCTCTGGAGGCACAGCCCGGAGTTTTTCGAATAACGGAAGTCCAGGGGCCGCGGCGATCGATCACGCCCTTCACTTCCGGCGGTGCCCCCAGGGAATCGCCGTGTTGTTTACAAATACTTAGGGTAGAAAACCAGCAGAGTTTAGCTACAGTATATATCACATTTTTCACGTCACTATATTACCGTGTAGACTAATCTGATGTTTAAGTCTATAAACACAATGACTGAACAAACGTTACTATTTCTGTGTGCACATTTTGTAAATAACAATAATAACATCGTAGATTAGCTGGGCTAACCGTTAGCTGTTAACGTTAGCCGTTAGCAGTGTCTGTAATAACCACAGACTGTATAAAAATAAGGTAATAACTCAATAAATGGTCCGTGAATAAAATATTTTTTCCAGCGGATATCTTAGTTACAGCATGATTGAGCTAGCAAAGCAGTTTTGTGTTGCTATGTGTGGTATTTATTCAGTTATGGGAAATCACGATGTCTAGAAAGCATCAGTGGCTGCAGCTGACAGGGACACTTAGCAAAGCTAACATTGGGACGTCATCTGTTAAAAGCCTCCCGTTGTTGGATACGACATGAAACTACTCCAGTTAGCTCAATCATGTTGTAACTCAGACATTGGCTGGAAATTTTCTTTTTTTTTTTTTTCACGTTGACGACACAGCGGTTTGGGTGGAGCGCTCGCTATGGACGCGGAGCTTGCTGTTTCTGTAGGTACACATTTCCTGGGTACACCTGCACGTCTCGGCCACGCACCCTCCATTGTGATTGGCTAAAGCGCAGCGTCGTTCAAACTCAAAGCCCTGCCCCCCCCCCCAAGAGATTAAGAACTCTTGGACTGACCATCTTAGTCAGGCAATATCTCACAATCTTATCTGGTCTTGATACATGTTCTGTGGGGTTCTCCGAAGAGCCTTCACCTGTTCGAAACTGTGGACCTAATCTGAAATTATACCTACAAGAAACCAGAGGGCAAAAACTAAGGAGAAAAAAATTGATCCGAAAATGACCTGGCAACAATTACAGCAATCCTTTTTCATTCCCAGGTCATCAAAAACAGACACTTTGTCATGCCCCCCTGGCAGCTCATAGTGTCGGCTGCCTTAGCCTTTGTATGTGATACACAGCTGTTTTCTGGATGAAATACACTGTAATACCTGGGAAACATGAAACAATTACAGTTAAGTTTAGGCAACAAAATTACTTGGTTAGACTTAGAAAAAACATCATGATTTCAGTTGAAATAACTATGAAACATCACATACCTATGTAAGTTATATAACAATACAACTCTGACAACACTGACACAAACTGCCTTCCTGAGATGAAAGTTTGTTTGATCCATCCACCGCAATGTGTAATTTCTCGCTCTTTGTACTACTTCATTTGCTCTCAGCATCAAATAATGCTTTGACATTGGTGTTAGTTAAAAGCCTGGTGCATCTCATCGAGACCCTAAAGTGTACCTTCGGCGTTGGTATCATACTCCGAGGGGGTATGACTTGGGAATAAGAACAGGCTGGTTAGAAGTGGGTTGAAATATCCCCCAGTATATAAATACGTTATCCAAAATGTGGTCAGCCAAACAGACGCTAACGCCAACACGCACAGCAGCAAGATGTGCCACCAATTAACAAGCAACAGTACAATACATAGCTTGAGAATCAATGTGAACTATCCAACTTGCCTCAGAAACACAGAGCTTATAAGCTTGGATTCACTGGGATAGCCTATACTTTGGACTTAGCTCGACTTGAGTCCCAGATTACCAGGACACATTGACCTGTTGACAAATGGACCTTGTAGTAACTTAGTTGAACTATGTTAATGTATCTTACAAAAATCCTTCTAGAAGTATTCTGCAAAAAGAGTTCTATTAGGCCCTGTGTCCACATAGCGCCTTTTTCTGAGCGCCAGAAGGGGGCCAGCGTCTTTTTTCAATTGTTCCCAATGAGGAGAGAGTGTCTGCTGCCGCATGCGGCCGCCTAGGGAAAAGGTGCTGCGTCCGAGCTTTTTGAGTTGAAAATCTCTGAACTTTTCAGAGAGACGCTGGTGTCGTCACCGGTGCTTTTTCCAGGCAACCAATCATATCGCGGAACTCGTCACCCTGGTAACCAGAAAAAATGGAGGAGAAGCTGGTGCTGGCCGTGTCCGTCTATCCGGAGTTGTATGACATGTCACACAGACATTACCATAACAGAGACTATATATATA